AGAGCCACTGCACTCCTCTGTGTTTGTCATGGTTGTTGAGTGCCTTCAAGTCGGTTCTGATTCACAGGGACCCTGGATAGAGTTTTGGGGGAGCAGCTGATGGGTTTTGACCCTTTGGCTAGCAGTTGATGATATATCCTACAGCACCAAAGCCGGACTCTTCTTTGTATATATGACTCTAAAGTTTAGCTATCCTATTTAGAAAAAGCTGTCATGTAATATAGTGTGTTGAGGCGCTGAATTCCTGATTGCCTGTAGGTATCATTACTATCATAAATGAGGAGTTCTGTGGTATTAACTTCTAAACAATGTAAGAGCTGAAATGTGTGCTATGGAACCATTTCAGTGATGCTGGTACCATAGTTTTGAATCACTAAATTGTTGCTATTAGTTTAGAGATGCTGCTTCCCCAGTTCTTAGCAAATAACCACCGGTGTGTATACAACAAGTAGCAGGGTAAGCATTAGACTGCTAACCGCAGGTTGGCAGTTTAAACTCATCAGCTGCTTCTCTGCAGAAAGATGAGGCTGATGGCTCCTGTGAAGATGTGTGGTCTCGGAAACCCTCCACAGTGTTGCTCTGAGTTGGAAGTGCCTCAACGGCAGTGGATTTTATTAGTGTGTTAAGCAGGAGCCCAGTGATGCAGTGGGTGAAGTGCTTAGCTGCTAACCCAAACCGTCAGTGGTTCAAACACACCAGCCACTGTGTTGGAGGAAGACATGACCGTCTGATTCGGTAAAGATGGTGTTCTTGCTGAGTGCCATCAGATCGCTTAGTACAAACACAATCCTGTTTCTGAGGAGTGGTTGGTGGGTTTGAACCACCAACCTTAATGGTATTGGTCTTGTGATTATCCTACAGTGTCACACCAGGACTTCAGCCTTGGAAACCCTTTTGTTGTTCAGTGCTGTTGAGTTGGTTCCAACTCACAGGAACCCTGTATAGTGTTTTTGAAGAGCAACTGGTGAGTTTGAACTGCCCACCTTATAGTTCAAACACATGTTTTTATCAGCTTGGAAAATTCTGTGTTCGTTTTGCCATTTGTCTATAAATAAGGCACCCACAAAGACCACCAGCGAATATATTTACTCAGTGTAAGAGAACAGCTTTGCCTCTGGCAGTTCTCAAATGTTTAGAGTGTCTGCTAGGAGAGGCTGACTTTTCAAAATTGCAGCTAAAACTTGCTCTCAATGATATACTTGTCTGTGTATGTTTGTGTGTTCTCTTTTAGTTTATTGTTGGACCATTAATGGATGCCCTTTCAGAGAGTTCTCTGTATAGCAGGTAAACCAGTAATGCAGTAATGTGTATTTACTATACAAATTTGTTCTGTTTTTGAAAACTGACCAGATTCTTTCATGCATTTTGTACATAATATATCTGCTGTAGAGTAGACATTCAACTTTTTCTTACCATGGTGTTGTTGTTAAGTGTTGTCAAGTCAGTTCCAACTCATAGCAACCCTGTGTAAGTTTTCCAAGGAGCGGCTGGTGGTTTTGAACTGCTGGCCTTGGAGTTAGCAGTCCAGTGCTGATCCTGCAGCGCCACTCCAGGCCTCATGTCGTCCCTTTCACAGTTGCTGTTCTTTCTGCCCTCTGTTGCCTGTCTCCTTTCCCCACTTGGAACCTGTCTAATCTTGGGCGTTTAGAAAAGTGTTGTCTTACTGGCTCCCCCTGTTTCTTTCATCGTGGAAATTACACTGACACTAGGGAGCCAACACCACTCCCACCTCACACCCCACCCCTTTTTCTTTTGACTTACTTTTGTTGATTTTAAGTGCTGTGAAGTCTGTTTCAACTCATAGTGATCCTGTATAGGGTTTCCAAGGCTTTAAATCTTAAACAGAACAAAAACCCACATCTTTCCCCCACAGGACAACTGGTGGGCTCGAACCACTGACCTTGTGGTTTGCAGTCCAGTGCACATTATATGGAGCTACTGCACTCCCGATTTAATTTCGTTGTTGTTAAGTGCTGTGAAGTCGTTTCCAACTCATAGCGACCCTGTATAGGGCTTCCAAGGAGTGGCTGGTGAGCTTGAGACACTGACCTTGTGATTCAAATGACTGTGCAGTCCAGCGCTTTAGCCCACAGCGCTATACTTAAGGAAAAGTTGTGAGAATAATACAAAAACTTTGTTTCCTTGCATCCTTATTCCTGAAAGGTTACTGTTTTGCCAGATTGCCTCGGTCCCTGTGTAGATTGCTGAGCAGACGCACTACCCACGGCTGTGTCTGCTTCCACGCCTAGTCAGAAGGGGGAGTTCACACCCGCGTGCTCAAATCCACTTTACTGCCACAGGAAGCCGCTGTTTCCTTTCCCATATTCCACAGTGCGGCGGCTCCCCCTGCCCACAGTGTATTTCCCTATTTGTCACCTGTATCTTTTGAGAAAAGTTGACAGTGAAGACCGGCTGCTAGTATTGAGGCTTTGCCTCATGTTCTCGAACCTTATCTATACTCCTGACTTAAGTTTTCCATTTCTCCCCTGCGTTTGTAATGATGTCTTACTAGTATTGACTAACTAAAGTTATAATTGTATGTTTTCTGTTTAGTATGCTTCTAAACAACCAAAAATGTGTCTATTTCACTCTGCTGAATACATTTCTTGGTTGACTGGACGGCACCTGACAAGAACAACGAGAAGTTAGTTAGTATTAAGTACGGTTTGTTAATTACTGGAAGAACAAAAATGCTTGATATTTCAGTCATTTTCAGTTCTCAGGTAACTCATTATTGAATCGTTTTTGGAAACACTTGGAAAACTAGAAAACAGCAAAGCCATTGATAAAGAGCTTGATGCTTTCTGAAAGTGCTGATGAACACATCGTAAAATGCCTTCAGTTTTCTAGCACTCTGATGAGTTCCTGGCATGGCGCTGCGGGTTAATGCACTGCATTGTAAAGTCAGTTTGAACTGCAAGGTTGATGGTTCAAGCTTACCAACTGCTCCTCGGAAACCCTATAAAGGGTTGCTATGAGTCAGAACGGACACTTAACAACAACATCGTGTTCAATTAGCAGATAATGTTCCTGGCAGAAGCATGTAGCAGAAAAAACATGACGTCAGAAGACGCTAACAGTTCCATTAAAGATACTCTACTGTTGTCCTTGTAAAAGTGATTGATTACTAATATGTATCTTTACTGACCCAAAGACATGCATTCATTGGATTATATATTGAAAATTATAGAATGTAACTTAAAATGATCACATCTGTAGGTACTATTTAGGGGACAGTGCTGTCTATTTAACAAGATTTATATGTGTGTAAATGTAGGGGAAATATTCCTGAAATATAGGAAATACATGCTGCTGCTGTTGTTAAGTGCCATCGAGTCAGTTCTGACTCATGGTGACCCTGTATAGGGTTTCTGAGGAGTGGCCGGTAGGTTTGAACCACCGACCTTGTCATTAGCAGCCCATTGCTTATTCTACAAAACTACACCAGGATTTCCAATAACACTTCCTTTTTTCAGGAAGTCTCCTGAAAAAAGAAATCTATGCTCTGGTAGCATAGTGGTTACGAATCGGGCTGCGAACCTTAAGGTCAGCGGTTTGAAACTACCAGCCGCTCTGCGGGAGAATGATGAGGCTTTCTACTCCTGTAAAGATTTACACCCTCGGAAACCCTGTACAGGGTCGCTATGGGTCGGAACCGACTCGACGGCACTTAACAACAGCAACAACAATGCCTACGTAGCGTAGTAGGTTATTAACTTAAGTCTGCTTTCTGAAAGAACCTGACATGTTAATATCTAGAAGGTTCCTCAGAACGTTACTGAAAAACAAAATGCCAGTTCAGCAAAAGGAGTGTCTTGATTTGTTTTATTGTAGAAAGACTTTGGGCCATGCATGGTTCACTTAGAGTAGTTTCAGAATGCTTATTTTAAAATAGATTTGAAATATTGATTCCCCCCCCCCCCCTTTCTTTGTCTACAGATCCCCAGGCCAGCTGATAGGAAGTGGTTCTCCATTGGGAATGAAATTACAGAAGTTTTTAGTCACCTACGTTTCTCTTCTTCCAGAAGAAATAAAGAGTATGTGTTAGTATAGAGTTTTTTTAAAATATGTTTGATTCACCGGTTTTTTTTTTGTTTTTAGCATATTGGTTATAAGTAACATTCCAGAGTATTATAAACAATATTATCAAAATTGTTTTCTTTTTTCAGAATACTCTTATTTTGTCAGAATGGTACCTTTTGCCATCGTATGTATGTGATACACTGTATTACTGTAGCACCAGCTCTGTTGTACAGAGGGTTGCTATGAATAGGAACACTAGATAGCACTAAGAATGGTTAGTATGAGTAGCTTGAAGTAATTTTAGATGTTGTATTCCAGTTGGATAGCTTGTCTAATTGCTGTTCCTTCTCCAGGGACTAGTTCCTCCTGACAACAAGTCTGAAGTGTGAGAGACAAAGTCTCCCCATTCTGGCTTCTAAGGAACTTTCTGACTGTACTTCTTCTAATACAGATTTGTTTGTTCTTCGAGCAGTCATGGTACTTTTAATATTCTTCTCCAACACCATAACTCAAATGCATCAATTCTTCTATGGTCTTCCTTATTCATTTTCAACTTTTGCATGCATATGAGGCTATTGAAAATACCATGGTTTGGGTCAGGAGCATCTTAGTCCTCAAACGGATATCTTTGCTCTTGAACACTTTAAAGAGGTCTTATGCAGAAGAGTTGTCTAATGCATCCTTTGATTTCTTGACTGCTGCTTCCATGAGTGATGAAGGTTGATCTGAGCAAATGAAGTCTTTGACGACTTCAGTTATTTCTCCATTGATAAGAATGTTGTTTATTGGTCCAGTGGTGAGGATTTTCGTTTCCTTTATATTGAGGTGCAAACCATACAGAAGCTGTGGTCTTTGATCTTCATCAGTAAGTACTTTAAGGCCTCTTCACTTTCAGCAAGCCTAGTTGTATCATCTGCATATCGCAGGTTGTTAAATGAGTCTTCTTCCAATCCTGATTCCATGTTCTTCTTCATATAATCCAGTTTCTCAGATTATGTGCTCAGCATACAGACTGCATAAGTATACTGAAAGAATACAATCCTGGTGCACACCTTTTCCTAATTTTAAACAGTTTTGTTCCGTTGAGTCGGTTCCGACCCATAGCGACCCTGTATAGGGTTTCCGCGGAGCAGCTGGTGAGCTTGAACCACCAGCCTTGCAGTTCAAACTGCTTTGCATTCTGGCGCATTA